CCAAAGCATGAGGATGCTAGAGTTGATCAAAGAAAAGGCTTCCAGAAAATCTTGATATGGGTAAAACACTGCGTTTCCCTTTTTTCTCCTAGAAACAGCTAAACCACTTTAGCTGAAATAAATAACCAACAGCAGTTGCTTCCACCTAAATAGAAATTTTCAACCCAAATAGGCAAAGTCTTTCACAGTAATAAGCAATTTACAATGGGTAATGCCAGGCAATCTTAATAAGAGAAGGTGTCACCAGCTTTATCTTACATAATAGTTACTCACCACTCCCAAAACTAAAGCACAACTACTTATCTTGTTAGCTTTCCCTCAGTAAATTCTTCAAGCACAGATATAGTTTCTTACTTTCAAACAAAAAAGAAATGAAAAATATTATCCTATCAACTTCTTCTATTGATTAGGCAGGGTGTAAAACAAAAGTTCTCACTAGTGTTTTCATTTTTCAACCTAATGACAAAAAAATTTCATTGTACAGAGTTAGTTACCCTTCAAAAATATCAACTTCAATAAAACTAAAACTTCTAAAAACCAAACCACCATATACCTGCTCTTACTTCTCCCAGGGTTTCAATTTTACTTTGCCCACTACCTGAGATCCTAACCCCTTCTCTACCATTTCATTTATCTCCTGCACCTTACTACTGCTCTAAACCCTTCTCCCCTAATCCTCCTACTCCTGTGCCCCTTAATCCCTCCCAGAAGGTATTGATATGTTGAACTGCTTTTCTCTTAAAAAACAGTTTGAATACATTCTGAGTGGTGTGCTATACTCAGGTTATGTTCCCTCCCCTCCACCCCCAAAAAATCTCTTTGACAGAGGATTGTAGCCATGGGTCTTCCTTATCTTTCCACCCTCTCCATATTTCCACTAAGGGTCAAATTTGAACAGACACCACCTGAATTTAAATCAGATTCCATGGTTATTGCACACCCCCTTCCCATCTAGGCCAAATGAACACTGGCATAGTAGGAAGCCTTTCAGTCACTAATTCTGGCCTGCATAGTATAATTTCTCTGGTTTGCATCTGTCCAGAGAACCAAACTCCTATTTGAAATATCATTTTTAATTTTGCTTCTCAGAAGGGGTAGTGGGTGCTAAACACCAGCTAAGTTAAATGTCAGATAACTGGCACTATTTGGGGTATAATAGGCATGGCTTGATCATGAATTGAGTGAAAAATCCAGAATCTGCCAATTATAAGTGTCACGGCGGGGTCCTACAGGAGGGCCATGATCTCCTTAAGGCCCCCTTTCTGTGCCTAGTCAGCCCAAGGGCACCCTCAGATTCTTGCCCGCCATGTCTTTGATCTTAAGTTAAAGTAGGGAGGCTGCCTCACGTCTCTTTAGGCATGGTCAGTTGGGACCTCTGTCCCCGTGTTCTCCTGGACCCACCGGGGTCTGCCTGTACGATGGGTTCTTCCCAGGCACCCTAGCCTTATGGGCTACGCGTGGCTACTACCAACCCCTAATACCACGCCCCAAGCCTCGCAGATGTACTGGACGTTGGTCTGTCAAAACCAACTTGCCCGCTCTCCTGGGCCTTCTCTATTGTACTGCCCCCTCCTGAGCTCTCCGAGCCCACTTGGGGGCTTCCCTGTGATGTCGCCCCTCTCTGAGGCCTTCCCTACAACGTTGCCCCCTTTCCTGGGGGCCTTCCCTACAATGTCGCCCCCCTTCTCTAGGGACTTCTCCAAAATAACCTAGCCCGCTCCGGGACTTGCTCCCGAGTCTCCGGTCCTCTAGGCCCACTGCACTGCTACCCTCTCTCATGCGAGCTTACCGCACTGCTATCCCTTTTTGCCGGGGACCACCGCAGCACCTTGCCCTGCTCCTGGGGTACCGTACTGCTACCCCTTTCGTTGGGGCCCACCGCAGCACCTTACCCCTGTCTGAGGTCTACGGCTGTGCTAGCCTTCAACCGGGCTCGCCACGCCCGTCTCAGGCTTCTCAATAAGGCGCTCCCCCTCTTCGGGGCTCGCCGTGCCCGTGCTGGGGCTTCTCAATAGTCCCCCCTTTCTCTGGGACTCTACACGCCCGCACCGGGCTCCCCAATAATAATGCCGTCCCCTCTCTGGGACTCGTTGTGCCCAACTTGGGCTTCTCTAAGTTGCCCCCTTCCGGGGGCTCGTTGCACCCACTTTGGGCTTCTCGAAGTCGCCCCCTTTTTGGGGCTCTCTGCACCCACACTGGGGTCTCTCAATAACACCCTGTCTCTAGGGCTCTTCAACGCCTGCACTGGGCTTCCTAGTAGTGCCCCCTCCTGGGGCTCGCCGTGCCCGCTCTGGGCTTCTTAAAAGGTTGCCCCCTTCCTGGGACTTGGGGGGCTCGTTGCACCCACTTTGGGCTTCTCGAAGTCGCCCCCTTTTTGGGGCTCTCTGCACCCACACTGGGGTCTCTCAATAACACCCTGTCTCTAGGGCTCTTCAACGCCTGCACTGGGCTTCCTAGTAGTGCCCCCTCCTGGGGCTCGCCGTGCCCGCTCTGGGCTTCTTAAAAGGTTGCCCCCTTCCTGGGACTTGCCACGCCCCCACGTGGGCTTCTCAAATGCCCCCTCTGGGGCTGGGGTCTATACACCCCGTATGTTGCACCCTCCTGGGCACCGGGGTCCTCCCACTCTGCTGTGGGTTCCCCCTCTGGAATACAGCGCCCTCACTGGTGCTAGGGCCCCACCCCCTGTGGGTCCCTATGAGGCCTCCTCCAACCCCTATAGCCTCACCCAAGCCACCGGTTTAATAAACAGCGCCAAAGCAAAACACAAGCCCCTAGGCTGTAACACAAATTGAAGCCGCCTGGCTATAACTTAACACCACGGCTCAAGCCTCCCGAGCTGCCATAAGCTGTACTTGAGAGTCTCGCTGCTTCTCACATCCCTACTCAGGAGCTTCTGCCCCTCCGGCTGCTAGCAGGAAAAACTGCCAGCCTGGCTTCAGCGCTGGGCTTTATAAAGGCCCTGCCCTGCCTCCTACAGGCAGCTGACTCATTAGTTGCCCCGGCAACCCACAGCTGTACTCCCTAATCACCGCTGGGGCTCCTTATGCACTGCCAGAGCTTTTCCTCTCACTGTCTTCCCCTCTCTAGGAGCAGGGCAGCGAGGTGTGTCGTGACAATAAGAAATAGCTGTTTTTGGTGTGCTGCAATTTAGCAGTCCTTTGGTCAAATTCCTCCAGACTTGAAAGCCAAAACAACCTGCACCACACTAAATTTTAAAGAAATCCAAGTAATCGAATGTGCAGTAAAGAGGTCTTCAAAGAGTTGTCTTTTAAACAAATAGCTCTGGTATAGTCAGGTTTGAGAACACCTTTCTCACACCTTTGCTGCAATACTCAGACTGTCACTCAGTTGGGGCAATTCACCTGTCTATACCACCTTGGTTTAGATGCAGTGAATGCTGCAGTAAGGTACACTGTGCCCACTCTGCATGAACCAGCTCTAGACCTGGACACAAGCATGGGTGAACCAGGCGGGGCCTGGACAGAAAGGGGGCCCGAAAATGGAAAAAAAAAAAAAAATTACAATTGCAAAAAGGGGAATAGGGCAGATATATGTATACCTAATCCTGCTTTTTGATTTCTACAACTTCGGTTTATATGTATAAATGGTAATTTTTTCCCGTTGTCTGATTATTATTATCATTATCTCTGGCGAAGGGGGGGCCCCAACACTAAAAATTCACCTGGGTCTGACAGGAGTCTAGGTATGGCACTGACCAGCTCTCAAAACAAAAGTAACTTAGCCACTGCAGTGCTACATTACACCCTCTCTCTCTGGGAAAAACCTATTGGCACATGCTCAGCACTGCACAAAAGCAGCTACAGTACTTCTGTACTGTGTGCAGAGCACATGTGGCATGCTTAACTGTGCCAGAGACCTCCACAGAAGTGAAGTGAGGTGGACATGCCTTAAAAGTGCAAAACAAAACTACAAATGAATACTTTGGTCAATCAATAACTAGTATCACTGAAGCATACAATAGGTCTGTTCAAACCAATCTAAATCTAGCAGATCAGTAATGACAGGGTGAAAAATTGTTGCTCTATACTACCAGCATCAGATAAAGCACTTATTTCTATTATGACAATATCTAAACTGAGTCACGAATAAAACGGCCTGCAAAAAGTGACCTTGAAATTCTGGCACAAATTTCTTGGCTTATAACAAACAAAGCATTCACTTTACAGCACAGCAAGGATACGTTTTGCCAACTGGGCTGCTTTATATGCATGCATGATCAGGGCTAAGAGAGAAGAGTTGCAATGTTCATGTTCCAAATCATAGATAATTTCCAAATATTTAAGTGACTGAGTGCATGAGAGAACTGCAGCTATTTTGGAATAATTTAGGCATACTGTATCTTGACTCCATTATTGGGACACTTACTAATTAATACTGTGTATTTATGTTCTTTAATTGGGGACTGTACACAATTAAAAAACGCATGAAAAAACAGAATGGTTTAGGATAAGCCTTTTATTTCTTTTGCAGATACCCGAAGTTGACACATGGGAATTTAGAACCCAGGGCCCAGTTTAAGAGTGTCAGAATTAAAAATCTGCTTCTGGATAGGTAAGGGCACAAGAACTGCCTCCTGAATGGGTGAACTCAGCAAAACCAGGAAGTACAGCTAGAATGGTAACTATGTTGCAGTGTGCTCTGGAAAACAAGCAGTTAACCAACCATATTAGAGAGACAATAGCAACTGAGCTGAACAGTAATAAGACAGATTACCTTGAATACTGTAAAATGTTCTAACCTAATCTACTTTATATCTATAATATAGATAAGAATATTGATAATATATATTATTATAGGTTATAATATATATACCTCTAGCAGCTTCTTAAAAGATTAGGTTATATATATATATATATTAGAGGGAAAGAAATTCTGGGGCTTAGACTGTAGTTAAATATATTCAGACTGTAGTTAAAACACTGCCATTAAATGTCAATATGATTAGCTTGTTATGCATTACAGTAGCTCACTGAACTTACGTTGCCATCATGGTTGGGGCAGGAGAGTGGTTTTCCTGCAGCAACAGCTGTGACAGTCTCCAAGATGGAGGACTCCTCAATGCTGTTTTCTGGTGTTCGCTGCAGGACATCCATCAGGTTAGTGATAAAGAAGTTGTTCTGGAGTGCTGAAACCCCTTTCTCTGGCAGAATGGAGGTCTGGCGGCACACTGGGCAAGAAAGCGTTAAACTGTGGGCTGGAATGTAATTCTGTAAGCACCTATTATGAGGAAAGATTGAGAGAGAAAAAACAAGTATCATTGAAATAGAAAGGTTTTTGTATTTTTTTAAAAGAATTGTTCTAACTTGTAACACCTGTAATCATGCCTAGTAAGGGAGAAATTAATCGTTTTCCAAGTGAAAAATGAGGATCATGAAGCTCAGGAAGGAATGTTTTTCTTAAACCTTCTCTCCTCCACCTCTACACACCAATATTTATGCAACTTGCTGACATTATTATGAAGGTTTTATACCATCTGAGAACAAAGGGGACTACAAACGATGGTGTGGTAAGGTGGGAACACCTCAACCAGCCACAATACTGGTCCCCCACCTACCTCTGGGCATGCCACCCTTTTCTCTCTTCTGCCATGCCTTGTTGTTAAATAATTATGGTCTTAATTAGGTGGGAGGCTGCCCTTTGAATGCCCTGTTCTCCTGGGCCTATATATGCAGCTCCAGCTACCCCTGTACTGCATCCCAAGCCTCTCAGATTACATGCTGTTCAATCACTGGCTCTTGGCCAAGCCCAACTAGACACACAGTTATGTCTCTCTCACATTGCCATGTTGTAGGTCACATTCATACTGTCCCTCTCTCCCCGGGACCTCTTACACTCCTTAACTCTCCACTCTTTGGTCAGCCCCAATGCAGTCTCTTAGGCATCTCCCGCTACCCCACTGTGCACTGATTGAGTGATTGCTCAACTGTGGGGCCTGCTTTAGCCCTGGCCCCACAGCAGAACATAATGCCCCTTCCTCAGGCCCGTACTCATGCCCCTCACCTTCAGGGTCTCTCCTTGGCCTTTGGCCCATCTTTGGCCTCAGGTGCCTGAAGGCTTACCTGGACCTTGCAGACCCTGTTCTCAGGCCTTCACCTCACTCTCCAGGGTCATACACCCCACTGGGGCTCAGGTGCCTCTCTGGGTGTGCCTGGCCCCACCACCCATTCTCTAGGCCTTACACCCCAATGAGCTCGGGTGCATCCTGGGTATGCCTGGCCCACAACTCTCACTCTCCAGGGTCTTGCACCCCACATGGGCTCAGGTGGCCACACCTGGGCATGCCTGGCCGTCTACTGCCTCCAGTGGTAAATAACCTGCCCAAAGGTGGGGACTGGGCCTAAGGCACCCCTTTCACCAAGGGGGTAACTGGCCTGGCATTTCCTGGGGGCTCCCATGTCACTAGGAGCCCCACCAGGCCACCCACTCCCGGCAGGGTGCAGTTTCAAGTTATGACCAGGACCAAGAGGCCTCCTCCTTCCCCATAGCCTCTCCCTCACCTCCAAGTTGTTGCAGGAGCAGCAGCTCCACCAGGAGATGTTCGTGCTGCCTCCAGCCCTGGTGGCTTGGATCTTAAAACGACCACTCATCAGAGCCGGGGCCACACCTGCCAGCTGCTTATCCCAGCTCTTAAAGTGGCAGACACCATAGGTGTTCTACCATAGATGGACCAATGAGTTGATATGCAATGACAAATAAGTTCCTATGCCAAAATGTGTGTCTCCCTTTTTTATTTGGCTACAGATTTCCTTTTCCTTATAAATTCCATTTTTAATTTACATTTTTTGTTTCAATACTTTACGACCAAGTGAAATCAATTGGATGCTTCCCTGCTGATTTCAATGAGGTCAGCATTTGGCTTTTGATTATATGCAAATACAAATCTCAATGGAACTCAAAAATTTCTCAATTTGTATCCATGTGCATCATTATACTTGCTCCTAGACAAAAAATAAACTATTTTGTAATTTAATTTTTACAGTATCTTATTTTTTAATAAGTATAAAAAAGAAAACCCTAATAAACATGGTCTTGCACAAACAGAAAATACAGGTTTACAGCTAAACTTGTGAGGTGGGATATTAGTCCCTGTGTTAGTCCAGAGGTCTCTGTTGTCATTACAATCAATTAATCTGGATGTGCAGAACTTCCTCTAACAATTTCAAATGATCAGAAACTCAAAGGCCCTTCTTCAAGTGGAAGAAGGCACTTCTTCACGAGACTAAATGAGCTACAGATCAAGTTCCATGTTGCCTCTCAGGAGGTACAGTCAGGAAAGCATACTTTAATCTGGAGTGAGAAAACATGGCTGTGGCTATCCATCCTCCCCTTTCTCGTCTTACAGTTCTGCTCTGACCATTCTTCATCCTTCCTCAACGCATCTCTTTGCTGTCTCTACATTAAAGAAAGCTGCATTCATCAGCCCTATATTTGAGGAATTCCCCAAAGGATAGATATAACATCTGTAGATAACCAGATTAGCAGAAAAGGGCTTCACTGACAGCCAGAATTGACTTTAGGAGTTTCAAGAGAATTTAGAATCAAGATACATATGACATTATGGGCAAAATCTTGACTCCATTGAAATCAGTGTGAGTTTTGCCACTGACTTAAATGAAACCAGGATTCTATGGTGTGTGCCTTCTACAAGGGACCTACATTATTCCATTCAGCTCACTATGGAAAACCAATACCATATCTGAGAGAAACAATTTTTTAACGAGGCAAATCTAATTGGAGAAAGCTGGTTAGGAAATAACATTTTTTAAAACGTCCTAAATTATACACTACCATAAAGCATTGTTCAACTTAAATTCATTTTATATATGGAACCATGGATAAGAAAGTCCAACACAAACCAGATCTTGTAGTCAAATTAAGGTCTCTAGCCTGGATTTTTGTTAAACTGATTTCTCCATAACTTCCATTTGTTTTTTCTGCTACTTGGTGGAAAATACAGCTTCAATATTACTACTTATAGCTACCTGCTCAGTATATTCAACAGAGCATAACAGAAATCAGATTTTTTTTTCAGATTTCCTTTGAGAGAAATTTTTCTACACCAGTCACCCAGACGGCAAAATAATGAGAATAGTTCATCACCAGTTATTAATATTTTATATAAGATGTCTAATACTTGGACATTAAAAATGGGATAATTATTTCTCTGCTTAGTAAATCAACAAAGAAAGTTTTTATTGCTTCTAATAATGGGCTAATCAATAAAAAATTGAGGCTATTAATCTATCATCCTCATCTGATTGCTCATCATTCTTATGGTGCTGCTGGTGCAACTCCATTTGTTGACTTCCCTTGTTTTACTTCTTATTTATACAGATAGCATAGGAATGAGACTTGAGGCTCTTTAAAATCTAAGGCAAACTAGGAGATATAGAGTTTTCAGCAGTATTATATGCAATGTGCATTCCTATGTCAAGACCTTTACATTTAGAAATAATGTTTAGAATAAGAAGCACAATGGATTTTTAAATGTTGTGGGCTTGTTTCTCTTCTCATGCCAATACATAAGGACCAACTTTTATTTTTGTCAGGGGGGACTTAAGATGATGCAGCCCTCTCCCCCCAGCAGCACGGCCAGAGCAGAGTTGAGCAGAGCCCATGGGAGGGTGGGGGGCAAATGCGGTCACTGTGCTCTCTTTCCAAAGGGGACCATGGCCCTTGGACCCTCATGTACTTGGCTCCTATGATACCAGGAGTAACTTCATTTAAGTCACTGGAGTTGGAGTGATATTGTAGCCAGGATAGTCCAGGAAAAATGCAAGGGTCAAGATTTTTTGTGGATAACTTTTATTGGATCTTTTATAGGATATAGTTGGGAGGGACAAAAATGAGTTTTTAGTAATCTGTTTCGGCAGGAAAGTGGCTAGAGGTCCTTCTGTCCTGGTCGTGAAAGAATTAGTTCAGGCAAAAGCACATCTATATCCCTCAAAATATACAGGTTGTCCAATAAAAGGTATCATCCACAAAAATCCTTGACTCCTGCATTAAGGTCAATGAAGTTCCATCACTGTGAAGTCAGAGCACATAGAATCAAATCCACAGTATGCAGAATTTCTGCAAGAAAATGTTTACCTTTATCTAGAAATCTTAATGTGCAAATATTTCAGCCTTTTAATGGGGCAAAGTAAACCACAAATTTTTAATTGATGTGGACAAGTAATTTACAGACCTCTATAACTGAGCATGGTTATGGCTCTTTTTTAACAAAGCACTTAGAAAGGCAGTGAGGGAAGGAAAATTTGAATCTGTTTATAAAAAACAGTAATAATTGTGCAGATATTCTGTAGCTGTCTTCTATTTACAGTCCAATATGAAAAATAGCAAGCCATCGCCACATTTTAATCTTTTAACTTAACTCACATCTAATTTTTACAGCTAGAGAGAACTGTCTCCATCCTGAAATGGAGAGAAGGGTCATTATTGGTTAGAAAGTAGCTAAAGATTTCCAAGAGCTAAAGTCTATGATAGCTGAGTGGGGAAAAATTAGAGTTACAAATGGGAAAAAAAATTCTTACCTCTCACAGAAAGTGTGCAGACAGGGAAGTACTTTAGGGTTCTTGTAACGGTCCAGGCATATGCTGCAGATCAGAAACTGTTTGTCAATCTGACGGACCACAGGACTTGGGATGTTGGAGCCTTCACTGGCCATCCTAGACCACTGACATATGGGTCCCGTTTTCTTCTACCCAGCACGGTGCTGAAACAAAGAAAAAAAAAAACAACCTAAATCAACATCCAGCTCCAAATACTCTTCATCTTGATCTGGGAGCTAATATTTTCATTTAAATCAAAACAGGCCAGAATGAAGCTTTAAAATGTTCTATTATGACACAGAGCTGGGAAATGGTTAGACATTTCTATTACACAATAAATAATAAGAATCTAGGTCAAAACTAGGGGGTGCAATGATAGAGATTTTTGGGGCCAATACCATTTCTTAAGGAGGCGTATCGGCTGATACCGATCTGATTTCCAATACACAGCCCAGCAGCTTGAAGAGCAGTGTCCGGCTGGTAAGTCTGTTGTGGTGGAAGGGGCAGGGGAAGGGAAGGAGCATGGTGGGGTGGGGGCAGATCAAGGCCCCTGAGGTGAGGGAGGGAGTAGGGCTGTGGCAGGGGCTGGGACTAAGGCAGGTGCTACCCAGCCGGGGCAGGGTCTGGGATGGAGCCGCGGTTCATCTGGGGGGTGCAGCGAAGTGGGGGCAGCTCCCACTGCTGCGCACACCCCAGGAGGGCATTGGGGGGGGTGTGCCCCTGGATCTGTGCTGGGCAAGAGTGGGCTGCCACTGTGGGCTGGGGCCAGGGCTGCGTTGTGCTCTTGCCAGTGGACTATGCTGGGGTGTGCGCAGCAGCAGAAGCTGCCTCCCCTTCCCAGTGCCCCCTGGATGAGCCATGGCTCCATCCCATGCCTCACCCTGCCCCAGCTGGGCAGCACCTGCCCCAGCCCCAGCCCCACTCCCTCCCTCTCCATGAGGGCCTCGATCTGCCCCCCCCCCATGCCCCTTCCAACCACAACAGACTTACCAACTGGACGCAGCTCTCCACACCGCTGGGCTGTGCTACACGCTGCGCTGCCTACATACTGCACTGTAGCTGCACACATGCACAGGGCATTTATTGGCCAAATTATTAGCCACATCAGGCATAAAATGCTGATTTCTGATACAGTCAATTGTCTTTATACTGGTGCTGATCTGATATCAGACCGATATATCGGTGCACCTCTAGTCAAAACAGGTACTCTAGAGAAACATGTTGTAGCTGCATTTTGAGAAGTACAAGGTTGATTCTGATCCAATATCATTTTAAAGACAGGGCTTTGATGGAAAGGATTTCAGACTGGTTTGTGCCCAACCATTTTCAAGAACCTAAAGCATTGAAAGGGCTTATGCTTGAAGTGCTTGACCTGCGACTGCCTCTTCCTTACACCCGAAGAAGAGAACTTGATGTCCAAAAACTTGTCTGACAGCTCTCCTGACTACATAGTTGGTCCAATAAAAAAATATTACAAAAAAGTTTTGCATCTCACACATTTCCTGGACCATCACTGCTTCAACAACTTTCCATCCTGAACTGCCTTACTCAGCCAAATTGTTCTTGCCGAAAATTAGTTTAAAAATAGTTCATATAACATACTTTCTTGTCAGTGCACATAGGGTAAGTACAGACAGTCAAAAAGCCCGAGATGGAATCGATATAAATTCAATCTTCACAGGTTAATCTAAGGTGCGTAGACTGAACCGATAAGCAAGTGAACAGACATTCATTTTTTATTCTGGAAATGCAGCCACATGCCTTCTGCGTACCTGGAAGGGGCAGGGAAGGGATGTGAGCAGTGGGGCGCAGACTGAGGCCCCTGCAGTGAGGGAGGGAGTAGGGCTGGGACAAGGGCAGGGGCTGGGGCTGGGGCTGAGGCTGGTGCTGCCCAGTTGGGGTGGGGTGGGGTATGGGATGGAGCCATGGCTCGTCTGGAATGCTTGAGCTTGGTCGGCTGGAGCAAACAGCTTGAGCCAAGGCTAGCCTGCCTACCCACCCTGTGAGGCATCTTTGCAGGGTAGGTGCAAAGCATCCTGGGATGCTGGGGGGCTATGAGTTAATTTTGATCTAGAGGGAATTTAGGAAAGAAATTCAATAAACTGATGTTACCTAAATCAGTTTAGTCTGATACTGCATCTATCAAAGTTCATTTTAAACCTGTTTCACCCATTTTGAAAATGGTTTACGTACACAATTTCTGCTGTTACAGGTTTGAATCAATTTCTTATGGCTTATGACAGCTTATGTGTATTTCTGTCCCTAGCCATAATGACTAAGGTGTGACACATTTAGTCTCCATAAGGGAAAGAAGTTCTGTCTTCATAGGACGTGTCTACACGTGCTGATATAAGGCACATTAGCCTGATTTAAGGCACATTAAGGGTGCACATCTACACATGCACGCCCTTAATGTACCTTAGAAATGGCAATTTTAAGCTATTTGCAAAAGCAGGTATAAAATTTAGGTGCAAATAGCTAAAGCACATTAATGCACATGTAGACACATTAAGGTGCATTAACAACGTGCATGGACTGACTTGGGGCTAACTTAAGTCCCACGTCAGTCCATGTACACAGCATTAATGTGCTTTAATGCATGCATGTGTAGATGCAAGCCTAAATTGCCTCCATGCACATTAATCTAATGCACATTAAATTTAGGCATGCCTAAATGCATGTGTAGACACACCCAGAATGTGGGTTTGGGAAGCAGGGAAGAAGGTGCTTAGGTATTACCCTAATAGATGCAAATTAAGAATGCAGTCAGTTGGCTTGGACAGAAGTCTTAAAAGCAGACAAAGAAGCGTGCCAGCAGGAAGCATGAGCAAATGCAGTTAGCAGACAGGGAAGCAGAAGGATCAAGAAACATTAAAAAAAAAAAACCCCAAAACTATGGCTGTACACAGACAGGAGCAGCACAGTCATTTACACATGTTCCCCTTCCAATCTGCATTGATGCTCCTTTGTCAGTAGATGACAGCAAGACCACACATTCCTGTCGCTGGAGGAACTACAATAGCCATACAGATGTACAACAGGACATTCTGGAAAGAAGTGTTACTACATTTTATCCAGCATACTAAAGTGAGACTCAAAGAAGTGGAACATAGGGCATGTATGTCTGTATGATCCTAGGACAAAAGGCCTTCTCCTGCAATAAATGCAACACCTGTTCATAGCCTTAAAGAAAATGAATGTCCCCAGAGTCAAGGAGTGAGCCCATCCCATACCTCTATGACTGAAGTCTGCTGATACTTCCTTTGGCAAAAAGAACATAATGGAGCAGAGGGTGAGGAATACAATCTGACAGCACAACAACAAAATTTGTTATTCTTCATAAACTAAGAAATCAGAAGTACACTTGGAATTGCTGCTCACCTAAACCAATGGCCCCCAAGGCAGTATTAGGGGAAAAGAAGCTTGGACTCCAAAAAATGGAATAGTATTAAACACACAGACAATGTACAGAAGGCTGGTGAATATTAAGGACAGAAAATGGGGACAGGAAAAGGGCAAAGTAATGCCAGACAAAAGGAATTGAAAGCTTGTTAAAATGTACTGGGAAATGCTAATAAGACAAGCAACTACTGCAGATACAAATATACTGTTGTGGAAAAATCAGAAGCAGCAATCTAATTTTCCTTATAACCAATAATTACTATGCTGTTCTTCCACTGAAAAGAAAGAATACCATGATGTTTTGGGGGTATTTTCTTCATTTGAACAAAATATTAGTTCTTAGTCACTGATTTAAGGAAGTACGGGCTGGATTGTAAGGTGGTTAGAAAACTGACTGGAACATTGTCTTTCTGGACTTCAGCAAGGCCTTTGACACTGTCTCCCACCCCATTCTCATAAAAAAACTAGGTGACTGTGGCATTGATGTCTACACAGTCAGATGGACTGCAAATTGGCTGAGGGGTCGTACTCAGAGGGTAGTGGTGGACGGGTCATTTTTGATCTGGAGTGAAGAGGGCAGTGGAGTCCCCCAGGGCTCGGTTCTTGGGCCCGCACTGTTCAATTCCTTTAGTAGTGACTTGGACGACAGGGAAAAAAGCAGCCTGTTTAAATTTGCTGATGATACCAAGATTTGGGGTGAGGTGGGCACACTAGTAGGGAAGGACAGATTACAGCAGGACCTGGACAGGTTTCAGGGGTAGACTAATGAAAATAGGATGGGTTTCAATACTGACAAGTGCAGGGTGCTGCACTTGGGCAGTAGGAACCAGCAGCACACTTATAAGCTGGGAAACTCCCTTCTTGAGAGCACGGAGGCAGAAAGAGATCTTGGAGTCATTATTAACTCCGAGATGAACATGGGCCGACAATGCGAGGTCACGGTCAGTAGGGCTAACCGGACCTTGTCATGCATCCACAGATGCATCTCAAGCAGGGCCAAGGAGGGGATCCTCCCCCTCTATGCGACACTGGTCAGGCCACAGCTTGAGTACTGTGTTCAGTTCTGGGAGCTGCACTTCAGAAGGGATGTGGACAGCATTGAGAGGGTCCAGAGGAGGGCCACCCACATGATCCGGGGACAGCAGGGCAGACCCTATGAGGAGAGGCTACAGAACCTTAACCTGTTCAGCTTTCACAAGAGAAGGCTGAGGGGGGACCTGGTGGCTGTCTATAAACTCACCAGGGGGACCAGCAGGGTTTGGGAGAAACCCTGTTCCCCCTAGTGCCCCCCGGGGTAACAAGGAATAACAGCCACAAATTGTTACAGAGTAGGTTTAGACTAGATATCTGGAGTCACTACTTCACAGTCAGGGCGGCTAGGATCTGGAACCAACTTCCAAGGGAAGTGGTGATGGCTCCTACCCTGGAGGTCTTTAAGAGGAGGCTTGATGTCTACGTGGCTAGGGTCATCTGAGCCCAGTTTTATCTCCTGCCCAGGGTAGGGGGTCGGACTTGATGATCTACCAGGTCCCTTCTGACCCTACTTCTATGAATCTATGAATTGTGCTCAGAGAGTAGTAATCAATGGCTCGATGTCTAGTTGGCAGATGGTATCAAGTAGAGTCCCCCAGGGGTCAGTACTGGGGCCAGTTTTGCTCCATATCTTCATCAACGACCTGGAAGATGGCATAGAGTACATCCTCAGCAAATCTGCAGATGATACCAAGCTGGGGGACGTAGTAGATACACTAGTGGGTAGGGC